TAGTCCGGCACCCCCTGGGTCCTAAAGGTGCCGGATTATCGGAAGTTTACTGTACTACAGTTTAAACACTTTTAACAATGGGAATTTTAAGTATTTTAAGTATTTGCTATTGGTTAGGTCTTACAGGCAACAACCCAAACATCAGAGTTATAGTTTTATAGTGATCAATGAAAAAGGCTAAACATACATAAATTATTATTAAAACTGGCACTTTCTATGGTCATATTGCTCAGCATACAGTACTAAGATCAGATTAGAGGCAGTAAATGGGGGTGCCATTCTTTTACTCTTCCAGTTGGAGCATATAAATGCTCTTTTCCCAACCAGAATGAGAGAAATACCCCTATATACAAAGGGGCAAAAAGTTGTGGCTTTTTTTAAATTTTAAAGTCTGTTGAAAACATACTGTGGGGCATCTGCTGACCAAGTTGATTATAATCTATGCAAACCAAGAATGCAGCATGCTCACCATGTCCCTTAAGCAAGTAGCATGCACCATAATTGTGTACACATTCATTTCCATACAGCAAAAAGACAAAGGGATAACCCCAGCTTACTTAATGTAAGTAGTTCCCAACCTTTACACTTGTTTATCTAACTCAGAATTTCCCACCCCTCTCTTTTGCCTCTTCCTGCCCTTCTTCCCATTTTTCAGTCTCCATGGCTGTGTCCAGACTGAAGGGTTTTTTCGAAAAAAGTAGCCTTTTTTCGAAAAAACTTCACCTGCGTCTAGACTACAGCCGCGTTCTTTCAAAATTAAATCGAAAGAACGCAGCTTTTCTTTCGACAGCGGAAAACCTCATTTCACAAGGAAGAACGCCTTTTTTCGAAAGTGCTCTTTCGAAAAAAGGCGTCCTTGAATGCAAACAGGGCTTTTTCGAAAGAGAGCGTCCAGACTGCCTGGGTGCTTTCTTTCGAAAAAGCGGCTTGCTTTTTCGAAAGTACTGCTTGCAGTCTAGACACTCTTTTTCGAAAGAGGCTTGCAGTCTAGACGTAGCCCATTTTAGTTTTCCATTCTTCTTTGCTTCCCTTCCCACTTTCTGAAGCAAGGTGCAACTCAGGCTGGATATGCAACAACTTGGACTGCATAACCCAGGAGAAAAGGGTAGGCCAGAAGTAGCTTTCTAAGTCACTACTACAGTTGGCTGCATTAGGAGCCTCTATGAGACCAAGGTGAGGAGGCAGGTAACTTTCAAGAAGTCACATGGTTCTAATTAAGCCTGCATGGAGATCCATATTTCCCAGCTTCCACTTTTAATTTGTCTCATGTGTAGGCCTTTCAACCCCTCAGCTTGTGAAACATTAGACCATTCCAGCCCAGATATTTTCTTACCTGGGTTTTATTCTAAACAGTTCCAAATGAAATGTTAAAAGGGGTTTCTGTTACCTTCAGAAACTGAGTGAGTGCTTTTGTTTTATCTTTCCTTATTTCTTCACCCATGAACCAGTAAGTGAGTCCTAGATAGTGATGGTACTCTCCAGTTTCAGCTTTTCTTTCAATAGCTCTTTGAAAACTAAGTAAAAAAAGAGGACGATGGGAAGAAAGGTCATATAAATCCTTTTAAGAGTTTCATCCTGCCTCATTAATGCATATACCACACACCAAAAAAAAAAAAAAAAAAAGAAACATGTACCTTTTCTCTGCCTCTTGATAATTCTTTTGGTTATAGTGAATCAAACCCTCAAGCGCATGGGCTTCTGCGAGGTGAGGGTGGGACAACACAAGTTGTTGTGCAACCTGTCAAAGGATGTGTTTTGATTTTTTTCCAGTTATATACAGGAATGAAAAATAGTTCATTTTAAAAGAAAAAGAGATTACCTTTGAAGCTTGATCAATCAAACCTTTGTTCAAATAAGCCTGACCTTTGAGAGCTTGAAGCAGTGGGTCAATATTTATATCTGAAATCTAGAAAAAAAATAGTAAACGCTACTTGAACTTTATTGAACTCTACAACAGATAGGTCTCATCTAAAGTATTAGGCCTGCTCCCGTACATAATACAAATAGTAAATATATTAATTTTACCTTCTCTGTCTCCAGATAACCAATGCCATGCAGAAAGTGTTATGGCTGTACTTCACATTTTGTTGAGAAATTAAGTAATGCTAGGAATATGTGTGTGTAGAATGCCATTCACAATAGAAGTACAGTAAATTTACGATAATCCGGCACCTTTAGGACCCAGGGGGTGCTGGATTATGAGATATGCCGGACTATCAGAAGGGGGGGCTATGAGGGGGCCTGGGGTGGAGTGGGGGTGCTGCAC